CGCCGCCGCCCCAGCGCCCTAGTGCCGCTGCCGGGGAGGGAGAGAGGAGAGGAGCGGCGGAGGAGAAGAAGAAGAAGGGGGGGAGCCGGGCGGGCCGCGCCGCGCCATGCGGCTGTGCGGGGCGCTGCTGAAGAGCCCCATCCCCAAGCAGATCGAGTACTACTCCCGCTTCTCCCCCTCGCCCCTCTCCATCAAGCAGTTCCTCGACTTCGGTGAGTGGCGGGGCCGGGGGGCGGCGGTGGTGGAATGTCACGGCGGCTCTCGCCCGGCGCAGGAGCGGCGAGGGCCCACCGGGGAGGGGGGTGAGCGGCGGCGGAGGCCGGCGCCTAGGCCGCGTCTCCTCACCCGGCACCTGGGCGGCGGGGCCTGGGGAGCGCGGGGTGCGCAGTCACGGGGTGTGTGTGTGTGTGGGGGGGGGGGTCCGGGAGGGCCCCGTGGGGACCGTCGTGCGTGGGAGGCGGGCTCCTGTGGTGACAGCCGGCCGTAAACGCCGCCGCTGCTCCGCCTCGGCGTCCTGAGGTGAGGTGCCAGGAGGCTGGAGAGGCAGGCTTGCCCCTCTGTCCTTGAGTTGTTCCCGGGCGTGGGGAAGGAGGGTTCTAAAAAAATAAGGGTTTCTGACCTGGAGGTTTGCGAGCTTAGCGACCGAAGGGGAGAGTAAGTCGCTGGTCTTGAATGCGAACGTTTTAGTGTGCCGTGCAGAGACTGGTTTAAGTAAGCCTGAGGTGTAAACTCTGACAGGACTTGCGCAGGGCACCTGTTCGGGGACGATTCATGCGCTTTAGGAAGCGTTGCTGATGGATAAATAGCATTTTTCTTTTCGGCAGTGCTGGACTGAAACCCAGGAATGACTCGTGTTGCTGTTAGAAAACTGACGTCTCGATCTAGATAACAATAAACTTCTCATATCTGTGTCAGAGGTTATTTGGCTCTTGCTCTCTGACACAAGAGTTGTTTAGATTTTATTGTCCTATGAATGCTCCTGGTAGAGTAAATACAAAGACCGTGTGTAACACCATAAAGCTTTATAGTGTTCCTTCATTCCACTTTTATGCTAAAGGTAAGGGGAGGCAAAAGTGAGCCAGTGGTGTTAAGCCAGAAAGTTATTAAAAGTGGAAACAATTGCACGTTTTTGGCAATGGTGTTAGTGAAAGAATGCTGTGAGTATGAAGAGCCAGGGCTGGGCTTGCTACCACATCTCAGTGAGACAGGGTCTTCTGCCATTTTAAAAAAAAAATCACACCTTGTCCTGTGTCACGCTAAAAGGAGAGCCTGACTAGAACCCATGCTTTCCTTCTCTGGTCTACTCTTGTGCGTTTGTTTTTGCTTCCCCACCCCTTCCTTTGCTGCTGTGCCTCCCCTGCTCTGGCGTTTGTGCTCCTTATGCCATGTCTTTCTGTACTGGCAAGAGCAATGGCCTAAAACTTAGAATATCTTTATTTTAGCCCTGGCACTAAACAAATCATTTCACCATTGTCTGTTTGAAAGCTGGGTTTGTAAATTGTTGCTGGGGAAGTATTAACGTTCGTGAGGCTTTTCAGTTGTGGCTAGAGAAGTGTAAAGATTTCAGTTTTTGCTTTAATGACTTCGGTGTTCCAGCAAAACTTTGCTTTTTGGTAAGGATTTCTACCGTTCTAAGTTGCCCCTGCATTACTACTTGCTTTTGGACATCTCTTGTGTGGCAGCCTTTTAATAATGCTACTTTTTTTTAACATTGTAGTATCTGTATTACTTTATGGTTTGAAAAGCGCCTCATGATACTCCAGGAAAAAGTAGTCTTTATGATTTTAAGACTGGTTTATGTTAGTGGAAATGAACAGAGTAAGAACGGTATGTTACAGCGTGGCCAGCTCTGTTCTTTGGATGTACTCCAGTCTGTTGTCGCTGGATGTGTCTGTGGAATCTTGTGTGTGTGTAGGCTATGTATTTTAAGTGTATTCATGTCTTAAGACTGATAGGAAACTATATAGTCATTGACATTTAAAACCTTTGAAGAAAAAAATGCCTACAGTTTAGGCTTCTAAGGTCACCAGGAGTTTCTAAGATTAGTAGTCTTATGTCGCATCAGCCTTGCTAAAACTATCAGCTTGATGTTAATAAGCCTTGTGGGCCACTTAACATCTCCATTTACTTTCTCTTTAGTGCCTGTATTTACTTAAGAAACCTCGAGTAAGAAGATTACAGCAGTTTAATCAAATAGATTAAAAACAATGTACTTAACTTGTGTGATCCTAGGTGTTGATGGCTTTGGGTAGTTTCAAGTTCTGTTGGAGACTTCAGAGGCCTAGAGGAGAAATTGGCAACAAAACATAAGATGTTGGTGCAAGAGTTTTACCACTCGAGGCATGGAAGGCCTGGACAATATGCACTGTATCAGGGAGCTGTGTTACTTATACCTGAATTACCCAAAAAAGAATTTGCTGGTGGCACAGGACACGAGTATTCAAGAGAGAAAATATGCCAAGCGTAAGTAGCATGATACTCGAGGTGCAGTTCAGTTGTGTTTACCCAGCCTGAATGTTTGAGGGGAAGAAGACACTCTGTTCTGTGGTCAGCTCATAGAGGCTACCTAATGTCTCACTTTAAAAGGAATGGTGTTTGTGTTGAGCTATGTAAATGTAGTGCTTGTGTTACAAGAACATGGCTAAATTTTCAACAAACACTGAATAAGCCCAAAAGAAATGTGTGAATAACCCTCTCATGGCAGTCTGTGATTTTGTGGTCTGATGTATGTGTGTTTCTTGTATTAAAAAAAAAAAAAAAGAATTTGCACTTACTGTAATTCAAATTTATTTGGAGAAGGATTTTTGACTTAATTTCTGACAATATTGAAACTACAATATGGTCTTTATGTCTTTTTTTTTTTTTATTGGTTGCATTGTTTTAGGCTAAACTGCCTTCTAAATTTGTCTCTGCAAAATCCTGGTGAGCAGGGGGAGAGAAACTTAACATTTCTTGTGGGCTGAAGAGTCCCTTCAAACACAGTTGGTGGCAATGTATGTTGACATATAGCTTAGGCTTTTATAAGTGTAAGTGTGGGTTGTATGGAATACTGTTGTGTGCCTAGTAGGGCTGTGGAGTCCCTGTTCCTTTCCAATGATAGAAATCAATGATGTTTATTTTAAAACCTTCTCAGGTAGCTTAAATCAGTTAATTAAACCACTCTAAAAGACAGTTTGGCTGTTTAAGCTAACTCACTAGTACTAAAAACCTGTGAAACAAAACAGAAAGCAATACTTAAAGCAGTGATTCTCAGTTGGTTTTTATAGCTGAGTCCTGTGTGTGTCTACATACCATGTTCTGCCATATGTGATTTACTTGCTGTTGAGCTTGCAGCTATCTTTGTAGCTGCCACAACTATGCAAGAGGTTACTGTGTCATGGGCTTGGGACCTCCATGTCACAAAGCATGAGTGCTCAGATTGTCTGTGCTGCTTTTTTCTTTATGTGTGTTCATTTTCTGTTTGCATACTCTTCTTGAATACTGTTCTTTCAGTTTCTTTCCTGCAAAGTGCATTTCCCAAGATTCTTGTGCAATCTTATTCCCTTGCAAAAGAATGACCTTCTGTAAGTGTGTTTTAATATAAACAAGTTTTGACCTTGTTTAATGTTAGCATGTCACTCCAGGTTTATCCAGGCATCCATAATTATTCTGGTCTGGAAAAAAACAAAACCAACCAACTGGATTCAGCTGTGTACTTCCAGACTAGTTACCCTGGAAGTTATTTTGGTAGATTTCCAAGTGTGGGCATTCCTAAATGACCTAGTTTGATGTAATTACTAAAATATCTTTTCTGAGATGAACTTGTAAGTAGAGATGTAGTTTAACATTCGGGTACATGAGTCTTTATGTTTTGGGGGCTAGACTGTTTGAGAAAAAAAAAATGCCCATACTGGAGATCCATGTTGATATAGCATCTCAATTTGGATTTGCTTCAGAGTGTAAGGTAGGCCTTAGAGGATGACAGGTTAATCCAAAATACCAATAATCTGCATCAGCACCTACATACATGAGTAATCAATCGGTCATGTATGTCTGGGGGAAGTAAATAACCCATCAGGCAGGTAGGTCTATATGAGGAAAGTAGAGTTTCTGTGTCTAGGAGTGTCCTGGCATTTAAAAAAACACACAAAGAGACTTGAGCTCGTTCTGCCTGCAGTACAACCTGGCTTGATAAGGGCTAGGTGTGAGCCTAAAGTCTTACAGCTGTACTAATGCTGATCTGTGCCCGAGCTAGCAAGCTCCATGCAACTGCTTGGTTTGGGTCATGTTGGGGTACCTCAGTTGACAGTAAAGATATTAATGAATGTTTCATGAAACAAATGGTTGTACTGAAAAGGTTACAGATGAAATAATTAAGCACAAATGAAGACACAGGTGAAATATAAATTGTCTAATCCTTTGGTCATGCATGAAAGAGTCATTTGAAGTTGTGCAAGTGCTAAATTGTGAATGTATGCCAGTATACTATATTTGTGTAATACTCATTGCTACTGCTCAGCTGATGCAATGCCTGAGACTTTTGTGAGTCTGAGGTTTGTTTTGTGAAAAGCATGTGCTGTGTGCTTCTGGAGCTTGTTTACTACTAAAGGTATCTTGGCCAGTTGTACTTAGCTGTATTCTAGCCCTTTCTGGCTTAAGTCTCATACCACATGTTTAGGATGAATTTTGTGCCTGTGGGGTTAAACTTTGCTTTTTTGTTAGCTCTTTGAACATATAGGTAAAATTTAACAAAATGGCACTTACCCTTCCTTATTTGTCATGTGTTAGTGTTCATGTACCACATAGTTACTAATGGGTTTGGACAAAAAAGTCATGTATATACTTAAGATAGAAGAAAGTGAATTATAGTGAGTTCTTGTTGTGGAATGTAGCTTAGGAGATCCTGATTTTGTAGGTTGTAATCAAAATATTTGTGGCAACTGCTACAGCTACTGGCATTGAAAAATATTGCAAAGGTTGTAATTTAGTAATTTTACTGTACTGTGAACAGCTGAGCATGCAGCAGATAATCACAGTGAGTGTATGCAGTTTGGGAACCGGTGTGTCCTGGGGCATATCTGGAGGAAAAGATGAGCAATGGATACTCCCCATTTCAAATATAATTTTTGGTATGAAATTTAGTTTGTGGGGTACTTATCAAACTTACCTGTCTTGAGGGAGCTTGTAGGCCTCTTCCAAAACTGATATAAAGAGTAAACCAGGTATTGGCATT